CAACAGAAATTGAAGACTTCCAGATTTTGACCCTCAGTAATTATAATTAGTTATTTGGTCCTTTTAACAGAAATGGGGAAGTCAGCTGATGGTGGTGTAGTTACTAAATATGAAATCTAGTCTCCAGCTCCAGATCAATGATATTTTGAGGCATTGAGGAAATCTAGAATTGAATGTAATCTCTGATAATCATAGAAAATGAAAACACGGTCTTAAGATAGACAAACATCTGATTTTCATGAAAGAGTATGGAACAATCTACTAACTACAAAAATTACTAACATTCATGAGCTCCATGTCAATACTTGACAAAATAGGATTATTCAACAGATGGTTTCCGAGCACTTAGGTAATGAAGTAGTGATCACTAGGAACCACCATGAGTTCACCATAACAAATCACATCAAAGTAACTTAATTTGTTTTAATAGGATTACTAGATCAGGGAAGGCCATAGACAGTATAAAACATTTAGCTAAGTTGTTTGTTGTGAACAAGTTGAAGAAATGTGGTCTTAAAAATAGTTCAGTAAGTATATTCATGACTGGTTATATAATCTTACCTAGAGACATAAATTAATTATTAAAGAGACATATAGGAAGGTGGTTAAAGTATGGTTTCTGAAATTAGACTGCCTCGGCTTCATTTCTGACTGCCACTTACTAGTCATGTGACATTAGGCAAGTTAATTTATCTTTTTAAGCTTCAATTCCTCACCTGTAAAAACAGGGGTAATAATAATTGTACTTACTCTGTAACATTGTTGTTAAAACTAAATTATGCCAAGGCACTTAGAAGAGTAAGAATTTAATAAATGTTGGCTGTTATTCCAACTAGGAGGAACATTCATGATGACTTGCTGTATAAGGCTCTTTGTTACCCAGACTTGTCCCACTTGACTTTTAATCCAAAATCTAATGAAGACATAAGAAATTGAATATAAGGGTAACCCAAATCTGGGAAAAGATACTGCCAACACATTGAATAGCAGAGTCAGGCTAACAGAAGACTTTGATAGGTTTAAAGATAATCTGAAAGTGGCAAGGTGAAATTTGATAAGAATAAATATGAAATTCTCCCTTTAGTTCTAGCATTCAGTTTTACTTGCTTAGAACTTTGTAATAACAAGACTTAAGAGTTTGAATTGACTACAACTTCTATTTGAGCCAACTCTATAAAAATGTAAAAAATAATTTAGTTAACAGAACAAGGAAGTGATCCTTTGTTGACTGATTGTATTAGAGCATATATTAATAATACATTCAATTCCGGATACCACAATTTAATAGAAACATCAGTAAACTGAGGTAATAATCCAGGATAATGAACAGATTTGTAAGCTAAAGAGTAGGAACTAAGGACACATTTAACTTGGAAAAGAAATAATTGAGATGTATATTAGGCCATTCTTCAAATATCTGGAAACATAATATATAGAATATAGACTGGATTTACTTGGTCATATTAGAAGAACTAGCTTTAGAAAGCAAATTTTAGCTCAGTATAAAGAATATTTTGATTATAGCTCTTTAAAAATGAATGGGCTGGTTCATGAAGGTGTAAATTCCCAACTAGAAGTATTGAGACAGAAGCAGGATTACTTGTCAAGGATACTGCAGTGGGAAATCAGAGCTTTAGGGTCTCTTCCAATGCTGATATTCTATAGTGTATTGAGGACTTCAGTTTTACACATGTTGAATTTCATTTAAGTACTTTATCTTTATGAATTGATTATGGATAATCTCAGCCTATATTATATACCCTGAAATAAAATTATTTCAGCAGCATTTGAAGTGAGTTGGAAGAATCATTTGGTTGCCAATCATTTTAACAGATTTATCCCAAAGTCTTGTACTCCATTTCAGAAGTGACTGGCATCTGGGTACAAAAACATATAGGTAGGAATTCTTTGAGAGTCCTCAGAGTATAGAAAAACCTGGAGAGTTATACACAGGACACTGGTAAGTCCATAAAAGATAAACATGAAATAATAAACATGAAATATTATATATATTTATGTTAAATATGTTAAACATACTACTGAAATTTCTCTTAATTTCTGTTAATACTCAAAATTCATTCTTTCAGTAATCTTTCAAAAATTCCTAAGATAATGCATAGCAGTGATTAGCAGTTTCTCACTTTGTGTTTGTTATATAGCAGGTTTTAAAGACCTAAGGCTACAAAAACATGCCTAATCAGAACAACATAATTACTCTTTCAAAAAATGATAAGGATGTTCTTGAAGCTTTCCCTTCAGAATGCTTGAACATATTTAGAATGACTTTGTTAGGGCAGCCCTGGTGGCGCAGTGGTTTAGTGATGCCTGCAGCCTGGGGTGTGATCCTGGAGACCTGGGATCGAGTCCCATGTCGGGCTCCCTGCATGGAGCCTGCTTCTCCCTCTGCCTGTGTCTCTGCCTCTCTCTCTGTGTGTGTCTCTCATGAATAAAGAAATAACATCTTAAAAAAAAAAAAAAAAAGAATGACTTTGTTATATGTGTGGTTCTTTGCCACAAGTATCTGTATTACAGCATCTTAGTAAAAATATATTGTTTTTTTCCATTAAACTTCTATAACAGACTTTTAATACTCTGTGGTAGATATTTGAAGACAAGCTGGGTTATAAGATAAAACTTTAGTTGCCCTTTTCTCTCATTTCTTTAGATAAGTGGACACTAGAAATTATAGATAGCTTTGGCAAGAGTTCAAGGGTTAATGTAGCAGATAAATAAAAGGAATTTTCTGTAAATTGAGACCTGCATTATTTCAGTTGTCTTGTCTTTCCTAACCTAACTCATTTAATTTTAAAAAGTAAATACTTAAATTCTTCCTGACAGTGTGCTCAGCTTTTACTATCGTTTATTACTTCAATTATACTTGATATCACTTAGAACAATCTGCCATTTGGAAATCTCAGTATAGCCTGGAGCTTAGTATTAGATCTGGCTGCTATTGTAACATGTACAGCATATGACATTAATGTATCAAAATTAGATTGGATCATCCCTCCTGGTTAAATTTATTTCACATTTCTTTTGTATTCAGTTAACATAAACCTATTAGGGAAGCTGACACATGGGGATGGCTGTATAGGAAGGATATTTTTAAAGTATTTTGATTAAAAAATGAAATTATAGAGCCATGGCTCTTCTAAGTTGTGTAATCCATTTGGTTTTTAAAAATGTCCCAGAGGTCAAGTACTAAATTTTAACTGTATATTATTCAAGGGGTGTGTGTATCTACACATGTGTGTGGTTTGGTGTAAATAATGATAATTAAAATTTAAACAATATTTTGATAGTTAGGCCTAATATCATACAGTAGGAACAATAAGTATGTTTATGGTTTCCAAAAAAGAAAAAAAATTAATATGCTTAAAACTAAAAAAAAAGTCTCCTTAAAAGAAAATAAATATTTGTATACTGTATTTCTAAAATAATAGATTCTATTCCCTAGATTTAACCTGAGTCCTGTCTTACAAAACTTTGAAGTGTCTGAGGGGGCATTTCTTGCTTAGGAATACAATGTTAAAGTTCAGGAATTTGCCTCATGTTTTCAGATACTTTAATGACATTCATTGTGATTAAGATTTTCTAGATAGACTGCCATGAGGGACTTTAAAAACCATTAGCACACTGGTTCTTGGCTTTCTTTGTTATGTATTCCTATTTGATAGACTGTCTCCTCTGAAAAATACACAAATAAAATTTTACACATAATTTTCAATATTCACACCCCATGAGCCCAAGTTAAGAACTCCAGGGTTATGGGGTACCTGGCTGGCTCATTTGGTAGAGTGTGCAACTCTTGATCTCTGACTCATAAATTCGAGCCCCACATTGGGTGTAAAGCTTACTTTAAAATTTTTTAAAAACAATTTCAGGGTTAAGGATAACAGAAGAGAGCCTTTCATTAATTAGACTTCTTGTTTATTGGTTGAAATGACACATTTAACTTTTTTCCTACTCTGTGATCTTAAAGCCAAGTAGATTACATACTTTAAAAATTGCTTGTATGTTAGCTCATACAGAAAATATTGATGGCACTTACCCTAGTTCTCTCCTCCAAAGCTTCTAAACCTTCAATGTGTCACACATACAGTATGTCAATTTATCTGAAAGTAGTAAAGAAACCCATGTGAGATAAGCACCAAAAATGGACTCAAGTGTTTGTAGTGACAGAATCAATTAATCTACTAAGATAACCAAATTTTATATTAAAATACATGTTTATATGATAATTTCTGTGAAGAAAACTTTATAATTTATTGAAACTCATTACTAATGGGTAATGTATTCATTTTTCTAGTAACTTAGAAATCCAACTTTTGGATGTTTTAAATTTTTATAATTTTAATTATCGTAATGTTAACTCTTTCTGATTGCTAGAAGCACCTTTGTAAGCAGCACAAAATATATTTAAACAATATCTTGAGAGTCTAACACTTTTTAAGAAGTCTGTTTGCCAGAATTTTATACACAACATTTCATAGGCAAACCCTGGAAAAAACCCTGTTGAACCATATACAGTCAACTTCCTCTTACTCAATAGATTATTTACCCAGTTTATGAATTATCTATTTCTTTTCCCTTCTCTTCCTGTTGCCTTCTTTAGGCAATTTTACTGCTCATTAGCCCTTTGAAAGAGTGGTTAGAAAAAAGAAGAATCTTGTATTGCTCATTTTTTTAAAAACATTTAAACAATCTTTTAAAAGGTTTGGTAGTGGGAAACTAGTATGGTTACTAGTTGAGTGTCTGTGCTGTATGTGAATATTTTTTATTCTCTGCTTCTCATTGACAGGAGACAGCTGAAAATTTTCTCCTGCAGTGTCTCCAGATATTTTGAATGTTTGTGTTGCATGTGAAAAATGATCAAAGGAAATTCATGAGTTTTTTTTAATTTCTTTACTTTTAATCTTTTTATAGTATGTTGTCAGTAACTGTATGAAAAGCTATATCTTTTTTCTAAAGCACTATCAACTATTTTCTTGGTTTTCCAGTTGAGACATTTGGGAAATGATGAAGTACACATTGTTTGGTCAGAGCATACTAGAGACTACAGGAGAGGAATTATTCCTACAGAATTTGGTGATGTCCTTATTATAATATATCCAATGAAAAATCATATGTTCAGTATTCAAATAATGAAAAAACCAGAGGTAAGAACTCCTTATCCTACACTTCATTCATATATTTTGAGCTCTTTATGGGTTTGTGAGTTTCTCCTTTCAGAAGAATTAAAATAGACATATCAGGTTGTAAAAACAGAGAGAAATGAGACACAGACTCTGGAAACTATGTAAATTGTCTAAGTCTACTTCAGAAGGAGCTAAAACTGGAAAAATAGCAAAGAAACTATGTTCAAATGGGAGAAGGCTAAGGTGATACCAGAGTAGAAATTCCTCTCTACTATGCTCACAAAAGGATTACCTTTTATTGAGAGGATAATAATAGTTTCCTAAAATATGCAATAAGAAGTAATCATTCCCTTTAGGATAGGAATGTATGATTCCTGTGTTTTTAGTTGATATATCTTACTAAGGATGTCATGATTATTCAGTCATGTTCCTTAATAAATGAAAGTTCTACAAAGTCAAAAAAAATGTTCTAGTTGGATCTCTTATAGCATAGGGTTGAAACACAGTTGCAGTAGTCTTTCAAAATAATAATATAAAAAAAGTATGGTAGTGTTTTGGTGTCTTTTTTTTAATTGAATACTTTTTGAATTTTTGGAAAACATATTTTTTGACAGTTGATCATGAATCTTTAGAATTTCTTGAATTGTACTAAGTTTCCCATGTGTGAATTTAAATTTATAGTCAGATTGTTTTAGGGTTTATCTAAACCAGAGGTCAGCAAACTATGGCCCACTTCTATTTTTGTATAGCCTACAGGCCAATAATGGATTTTACATTTTTAATAAGTTTTTTTCTCCTTGTTCTTTTGTTTTTGTTTTTGTTTTGTTTTCAGTGTCCTCCCCCCCCCCCCGCCCCCAGTTTTTCTTTTTTAAAAATCAAAGAAGTTGGGTTGCCTAGGTGGCTCATTCAGTTAGGCATCTGCCTGCGACTCAGATCATGATCTCAGGGTCCTGGGATCAAGACCCATGTTAGGTTCCCTGCTCAGCAGGGGGAAGGGTGGAGGGGGAGGAGTCTGCTTCTCCTCTCCCTCTGCCACTCCCCCTGCTGGTGCGCTTTCTCTGTCTCAATCTGTGTCAAATAAATAAATAAAATCTTTCTTAAAAATTTAAAAAATACATATCAGGGACAATATATGGCCACAAAGCCTGAAATATTTACTGTATTCTGTATTATCCACAGCTCCCATCCTTGCCTTCAGCTGTCATTTGTCCCAACCATATGCAAATAGAATAACTTTGAAACTGTCAGTCATCTGGTAGAAATGACAAATATCAAAGCATAGATATTTTCTAATAAATGTCTCTTAGGTTCTGAAGTAGAACTGGCATCACACAAAAATAATGAAAAACTAACTTGCTGCCTATAAGAATGTATTATCTTTACTAAATTTATGCAGTGGAGGAGAAGGAATTTATTTCCAGTGTTAGATTTTTGTGTACAATTGAGGCTACGAAAATTTGAAAACTGTCAGAGAATATGAATTATTTAGTCAATTAAATGAAGCACAGTTCTTTTGAATGGGAAACTCTGTAGACCTTCAGCATTTTTTGTTTGTTTTTTAAGTGTGAATCATGGAGAAGAAATTAGTTTGAATACTATTTCTACTGAAGGAAAAACTAAAGAGGAAGTAAAACCATAAAACCATTTTTGTGTACAGTGTCTTGATTATTTTAATTTTTAATCTTTCTCCAATATGAATATAAAATTATGTTCTAAATTCTCAACCAGGTTCCTTTCTTTGGTCCACTTTTTGATGGCGCTATTGTGAATGGAAAGGTCCTACCCATTATGGTTCGAGCAACAGCTATAAATGCAAGCCGTGCTCTGAAATCTCTGATTCCATTGTATCAAAACTTGTATCCTTTTCAACATTATGGTTTCTTCTCTAATACATGTCTACTTTCCAAGGTAGGTATTTCTTATGTGTTAGGTGAATTTGTGTTTATTGATATATAGATGATAGAGTTCCTCCCTAGTATTTGAGCAGTTATATTTGAGTGATGTATTTTCTTTTATACACTACTAGTGAGTGCTTATCTTTTGGTTAATTATTAGGGCCCCATCAGGGGTACTTTAATACTCTAGAGTACTGCGAGGTACTCTTATACTCTAAATGTATAGAAATAACCAGTCATCATAAAGTATTCGATCTAGTTGAGGAAATATACTGTTTTTATTGTATATGTGGTAACAGTTATGTACAGTGTTCCGGATGTATAATGACAAGCATCCTCTCAGCTGGAAGAGGGATAGTGGTGTCAGGAAATACTTAGGAGAAATATGAGGATTAAATACTGAAGGATGATGAATAAAGAGTTAATTGGGTGGATGAAATTGAGAGGAGCATTCCAGGCAAAGGGAACAAGATAAAGACATGGAAGTAGGAGAGGATATGGAGTGTTTAAGAACATCGCTTCTGGGATCCCTGGGTGGCGCAGCGGTTTGGCGCCTGCCTTTGGCCCAGGGCGCGATCCTGGAGACCCGGGATCGAATCCCACATCGGGCTCCGGGTGCATGGAGCCTGCTTCTCCCTCTGCCTGTGTCTCTGCCTCTCTCTCTCTCTCTCTCTGTGACTATCATAAATAAATTAAAAAAAAAAAAAAAGAACATCGCTTCTGGAGCCAGATTTCTGGACTCAAATGCTGGCCATTATTTCTTTAGCTGTCTAGCCTTGAGCAAATTATTTAACCTCTCTGAGTCTCAGTTTCCACATCTATAAAATGAGAATGATAACATCTAGTTCATTGTGTTATGAGAACTGAATGAATCAATACGTATAAAGCTCAGAGCAATGCCTGGGACATAATATGTATACAATTTTAAATTATTTTCTGATATTCCTTTCTAAAATGAATTTGTGTTTCCATGTATCTTTTCTATATGATTAAAAGCATTTCAGTTATTTTTCTTTTACTTAATAAATTGTTAAGCTTTATAGTTTATAGGGAAGGTTTTTTAAAGTATCCTATGTTCTGTTCCACATGAAATGGATTTATTGTAAGTCTGCCACATATATTCTCTTTTGATGATGAAAATTGACTTAATCTGATTCCTATGTAATTTCTCATGTATTCTGACACTGTGAAATGGAATTATAGGTGGACCATGGCATTATTATACATTGATTAAGCTTAAGGACATGGATATAGCATTTATTAGTGACAGTTATATCTTCACTTTAAGTTGAAAGCTCAGGTTTGAAGTGTCATTGTTGTAAAATGTAATGATTCTATATTATTCCATAATATCTCTAGAGAGTTATATACAGATTATATACATACAGATATATACAAGGAATATACAGATTATTACCCATAAACTAATTTTATCCACATTGTCAACTCCTCTGAGGTTGTCTTCTTTCAGATCTTTGCCTCCTTACAGTTTGCCTCATCCTGATGTTCACTTAAGGTTAGTGTCCTCCACCATTTCATTTAAGACACAGTTGAAAGAATGCCTTAAATCTTTTGGGAAAATGGGCAATCCCGGTGGCGCAGTGGTTTAGCGCCACCTGCAGCCCGGGGTGTGATCCTGGAGACCTGGGATCAAGTCCCACGTCGGGCTCCCTGCATGGAGCCTGCTTCTCCCTTTGCCTGTGACTCTGCCCCTCTCTCTCTCTCTCTGAATAAATAAATAAATAAAATCTTTAAAAAAAAATCTTTTGGGAAAGTGATGAGAGAAATTAGATTGTAGGACAAAGCTGTATTTGCCTCTTGTGTCATAAAACAGGAACTCAATTTTTTTTTTTTTAGCAAACACAAGCTATTTCTGGCCCAAGGTACAAACATTTAAGATGCATACCTTACCAAGTAGCAGAATTAAAAGTATTGGGGCTATGGCTTAATTTCTTTTTCCTGCACCTAAGTTCATACTCTTGAGAACTACTTCGGATTTGCATGTTATACTAGAGGTATGGTGACTGGATTTGCAGTTAGAAAATAATTGATTTTAACTCAAGCTCTGCCTTGTGATCTTGGGCTAGTCACAAAATTTCTAAACTTCACTTTCTTTATAAAAAAGATAATACCCATCTCGAAATTATTCTGAAGATTAAATGAAGTAATGAATTTAGATGTGCTTAGTAAATGAAATAAGTAAGGTACATTATTTTGTGGAGAGATTAATTCTGTTATGTGTAAAGATTACAGTCAGTATTAAAACAACTCTACCCAAAACCAAGGAATTTTTTAATTGAGTTTTTATGTTTGGTTGGTTGGTAGGTTAATTGATTGAATTGGATTTTCAGGCCTGTTTCTTGAAGTTTTTTAATAGTTAATCTTGCTGAGACATTAATAGATACCACATTGGAAAAAATTTCTAAGATGAAGAGAGATAATTTCAAATGAAAAGAATAAACATGAGCACTTCATTTACACAGCAAATACGAGCAATTTCCTTCAGTGAGACCATTTCTGGAACACTCAGAATAAAAACATAAAATCAGATCAAAGAAATTTTTCTTGACACAGAAGCTTGAATTTAGAAGGTATATGGAAATTATTTCTCCATACTATTTAAAGATATAATAAAGGTGCTCCTAGCCTTTGCTAATCTGAGAAATATGTAGTCACCTTTTACAAGGATTCACAAAGTTCTATATTAATTCTAAATGTCAGGGGAAATTATCTCATACAGGTAGATTACTTGATTTTTAAATGCAACCTTATATACTAAATTACAACTAGGTGTTTTTAAGATTTTGAAATATAAATGTCTTTGACTTTTAAATAAAAAATACATATCAGAAATATCTTAAAATGTATGTTTTTGAGGAATCAGGTAGGTTTCCATTAAGGAAAAAAATCATGTGTTCTAAAACAAATCAATAGAACTTAACAGAAATTACGACAGAAATTGAAATAGAAGTAGGCTTTGAAAACCACCAGTTACTACTTTAATCCTCATAAGAGAAATAAAGGGATAAAAGAATATATAATAAACTCACTTATATTTAGATAATTGTACTGCTGTGTTAGTTATTTTATGCCCAATAAAAGTACCCACTAAGATTCCACAGCATAAATTGTGCTATTTATGATCATTAAATACAGTTTAAATTTTATCCTGGGAACATCTTCTGTAACTATGAATCTAATGTTGCTCACTAAATGAGGACAATATTGATTGTCATATGCTGTCCAAATCGATCATGCTGGCAGCCAGAATTACAGTAATCTGTCAGTATTGATGACTGTCTTTCAAGCTTTGAAACCTCTCCTTCACTTCACTTGTCATTTCTTGCATTACTTGTATTTGAAAAGCATTTTCTTGCAACCTCAGTCTTTGTCAGCTGGGTGATTTTTTTTTTTTTTTTTTTTTTTTTTTTTTTTTTTTTTGTCTCGAGCCCAATTTGTTGGTTTGATCATGCAATTAGAATTGAAATGCAATGCCTGGGAGGAAGAATAGGCAGGTTCTGGGTAACCAGTGGACCTGAGGGGTATTTCAGGTTGATCTTAGACATCATTTGTTAGTTACCTGTTGAGTGTGTGTGTGTGTGTGTGTGTGTGTGTGTGTGTGTGTGTGTGTGTGTTGGGGTTGGGTTGTTGGTTTTGGATTGGGGGGGCTTTTTTTGCAATGAGAATAACAATTTCATAATATTAATTTCATGATCTTAGCTATCATAACTCTAAACCTTAAATAAACATTTTAAGCAATTTTTTGTTAACACTCCTAGAGACATTTCAACTGTACAAATGTTAAATATGATGCTGTCATGTGTGTACTGTTTCGATTTTTTAACAGATGCATTACACAAATTTTCAGAAGTTACAGTATATAATCATGTTGAGAAACAGAATCATAGGATGTAGGTATATACATACATAAAGAGAAAAAGATTAATTTTAAGGAATTAGCTCACACACTTGTGGGGACTGGCAAGTCTGAAATCTGCAGGAGTTCTTAGGTAGAGTTGATATTATAATCTGAGTCAGAAAGCATCTGGAGGTAGAATTCCTTGCTTCTGTGGGGACCTCAGTTTTTTTCTCTTAGGGCCTTTAACTGATTGGTTGGGGCCTACCCACATACATTATGGAGGATAATCTACTTTACTCAAAGTCTCTTGGTTTTAAATGGTAATCATGTCTGAAGAAATACCTTCACAGCAACACAAAGTCTGGTGTTTAAGAACTGGATACCATGACCTAGCCAAGTTGACATAAAATTAACTGTCGCACATATCCCATTTTTCTTCATTTTTTCTTTTTAACCTTTTGTACTGTAAAATATAATTTGAAATAAGTACATTATTCTAAATGTAGTATATGGTGAATAATTACAATTTAACCACCATCATCTCAAGAAATAAAACTGTACTATTCTCTATCAAAAATATTTACTGATCACTTTTATGATAGTGGTAAAAATTTGAGAAACACGTAGAGACAAATCATAATTGACCCTTGAACAACATAGGTTTGAACTGCTCAGGTCCACTTATTTATGGCTTTTTTTGATAAAATACTGTATAGTATTGTAAATGTATTTTTTCCTCCTTATGATTTTAATAGTTTCTTTTTTCTAGTTTAAGAATACAGTATGAGGGGATCCTCTGGGTGGCTCAGTGGTTTAGCACCTGCCTTCGGCCCAGGGTGTGATCCTGGAGTCCAGGGATCAATTCCCGCATCAGCCTCCCTGCGTGGAGCCTGCTTCTTCCTCTGCCTGTGTCTCTGCCCCTCTCTCTCTCCTCTCCTCTCCTCCTCTCTCTCTCTCTCTCTCTCTCTCTCTCTCTCTCTCTCCCCCCCCTCATGAATAAATAAATAAAATCTCAAAAAAAAATACATTATGAAATGCATGTAACATTCAAAATATGTGTTAGTAAACTGTCATCAGTAAGGCTCTGATCAACAGTAAGCTA